GCAAGTGTCGTGGGTGCAGGGCCAAAGATGTCAACCAGGTCCATTAGAGCCGACTGAGCGAGAGAAAGAGACAGAATCAGGAGAGAGCGATGGAGGAAGAGAGGAACGAGGGGGAGGGAGCTAGCAGGTCACAATTCTGATGACACACACACACAGACCCAGGACTAAATGACACCATAAGAACGAGGTGGCAAAGGTGAGAAAAAGCTGAAGATGGACTCAGACCTGTTAAGGCCGTGGGACAGACTGCAATCGAGACTCACTTAAACTAATTAAATTGAATTCTAGATGTGCTGCCTTATGAGAAAAATGTCAACATTCTGTCTTCCCCAGAAATACCAAAAAGGACTGATGGTCCCAGGGGACATGTGGGCTCAAGATGCAGAGAAGAGTCATATTTATTAAGCATTAAGATCAGAGCTGCAATTTCCAGATAAGACAACCACTCGGTGGCGCTGCAAGATTTTCCCAAGCTTTAGTGACTGGCCACCAAGTGGGACAGGGCCATGTCCTAGCGGTAGGGATGCATGCGCTGGCACCAGGCACACATCATACATCAAGGGCAGGGAGTGCGTCAGACCCCCAGATGGAAACACAATCTCAGGCACACAGCTGACCTACACAGTGCAAGCTAACACCTCAGACGCTCAGCTGAAAGGCCAGTGCCACGCCCACTCCATTACCTCCTGGTGACCAGAGGAACTCTCTCGCCGGCTCTCCTCCAGAGCTCTCTGCAGCAGCCTCTCGTCACCCTGCCGGCTGCGCTGCTCCTGGGGACGGACACACAAACACTGATGAGCACCGCTACACGAGAAGAAGCAGACTTCCTCTGTGCGGACTTGGGCGTGATCTGTCACATTAGCGTGTGACAGCAGAGCTGGGAGCTGGGAGCACAGATGTAGGCACCTCTGAACCCAGGGAAGACAAGCTGGCCTGCTGCAGAAAACTCAGCAAAGGGGGAGGAAAAGATTCATTAACTGTGGACATAAAAAAGACTAAAGAATAAAAACCCCACAGTGAGGCACTGTGCTTTCCCTTCAGCAGGTCTGGCAGAGGAGAGAAGGGAGAGGTTTGGTGAAGAGAGCAGGGAGGAAAGTAGTCTGCAGGGCACTCAGCGTGCAGAGCAGGTGAGAGAGAGCCAAGAGCTGAGGACAGGTGGCTGTGTTAAGGCACAGGAGAGAAAAGAAGTTATGCAGGGCACCTCTCAGGCTGGAGAGGCAGCAGGCTGAGGCAGTGAAGAGCCCCAAGAGCCCCAGCCCCGGTCAGGCCCGGGTCTGAGGGTGGTACCTTCTCGTGCTCCTCCTTGCTGAGACTGAGAGCGATCTGCAGCTGCGTGTCCTCATCCATTTCCAGGGAGGTGGGCGGGGCCGGCTTGGGCTACAAAGCATCAGAAGGGGGAGGGATTAGCAAATGCCCAGCCAATGAGCAGACCAGCCGTCCAAAAGCTCCTCCCATTTACAGCACCAGTGAAAGGGGTTCACTTCAGCTCAGAGGTTAGACAGCAGCCTCTCAGGCCATGATGTCCAGACTACAAAGGCCGACATTAATTTTCATTTCTGTATGTATGTGTAATAAAAATCAATGTAAAACTTCAAATTATAGTTAGTGTGGAACCAATTATCATTATTTAAACAAACTTGAGGCAAGAGCGAAGCAGGTCTGAAAGCTGGGGACTGCTGTCCCTCCTGGCAGTCAGCCACAGGCACAGCTGAGGGGCAACTACACCTCCCTGTGCACCTCCTTGCGGATGCTCGTAGCAGCCTGAAGCTGTGTACTTGTCTATCTACTCTGGGAGGCGGAGCTAGAAAGCACCAGGAGGAGGAGACTTTAGGTTGCAGCCAATCGCAGTAAGGCTACCCAACAGACTCCGCCTTTATGGGTGTGCTCATTTACTGACTCCACCTCATATGTATTTATATTCAATTAAACAATCATCCACTAAAAATTCCAAACATAAGTAAATACATGAGTGTAATTAAGTAAAATGTTTTATACTGGGATTAATCTAGGCACAGCTAATAAGAAAACCTGATAAAGGATAACTGCAGTTCAAATTTCTCAGACAGGTTATTAAATCTCAGTCACAAAATAAATTCATTGATGGTACAAAAAAAATTTGCGAGAGTCCCCATGAATTGCGCCTTGAGGCGGCCCTTCCTGCTCACTAGTCACTGTAATGGCTAATGTAATGTGATGCACGAGTGAATAAGTACAGGTTGTGCAGCAGACATTACACTACAGTGTTTCAAAGCTATGCCGAGTTAACAAGTATGTACATTTATTGGCAAAACTGCTGTCAAGAGCAATGTTTCCATTGTAATAAAAGAGATGTATTAACAAGCCTGCTTGTTTCTAATGTCATTCGACCGCACACATCACAGAATCTGTTGCCTCACTCTGAATCACTTTATATGGCGCTGCGCAGACCTGGAAATGACTTTTTTTCTGAGATGTAAATTGGAGGTTTTACATGTTACTTTGTTTATTAAACTTTTATTGTGGTTTGAAATGTACTCTTCAATGCTGATTCTTTCTAACCCCAGGATATAAAAATAGCGTTGCAGTTCTCCTCTAATCCTGGAAAAAAGAAAAGCAGGATGAATCCATCTTCAAGTCTCGGACCAGACGACACCTGGAATCACTGAGAGCTCTCAGGAGCCAGGGCACCAGGGCCGCAGGGGACACCAGTACAACAGGAATGGACATTCACTGACCCCACCCCTGGACAGTAGGGCAGGGGCAGCTTGCGCACACCTCTGTCTGCAGACCCCCACACAGCTGCACTGGAAACACCAGAGGCCTGGTGCTTCCACTGAGTGGACACTGGAGTCCCAGCATGCCCCATGGGCCTCAGCCTGCACCCAGAGCAAGAGCCTCTGCTGGAAACCAGCTCTACCTGGAACTGACTGGATCTGCTCAGACAGACGACAGTCTTCTTTTCCCAAATACAATACATGCATGAGCCCCCAGATTTCTAAACACTGGAAGTGACTCCTTTGGGCTGATTCTGCCCCTGTGCTGCTAGCAATGGAGGGCAGGTCATGCAGCTGATAGTGTCCTCTCACACAGGCCCGCAGTGAGGTCACAGCAAGGCTGTCGATACTGTGGCAGGCAGAGGGAGAATCAATAAGCTCAGTTTGGTATATGCTGATCCATTGTTTTAGGCTCCCTCTTTATTTGATTTTCCGGGAAAGCACTTTCAGAATCTATGAAGTCAAAAAGAGAAAACTCAATACATCAACATTAGAATTCACTGCAGAGGCCAAACCTACAAGGATTCATCTTGCAGTGACAGAAGACCGCACACACTGTGTGAACCCTCAGCAGAGCAGGAATGCCTACAGCACAGGATCCAGCGCTGGGACAGAGGAATTCTAGGGAAATCCACACAGGAGGCAAGAGAAGAGGGGAGGGGGGCTGACAGAGAGGCGTCTCCCCCAGAGACATTCCTGTGTTAATTCAGCAGTGGGAATCTACAGCTTCAGCTTCTCTTTCAAAGGGAGTTATTGAGTTATTGATGGAATGAGTGACACACAGAGCTGGCGCGTTAGTGCGTGTTTTGACAGTTGGGTTAGGTCCTAATGAACGCGTCAGCGGGAAGTCTTTGGCATGACTCGCCTGGATGTGACAACGGCTACCCAGACCCCCCTCACCATCGCGAGAACTGGGCACAAGATTTATATACGTAGCAAGAGGTGTGAGAGATTAGGATCTAACCGCTGGGAGTTTATTAAAAAGGCTCCCTACTATGCAGCACAGTGACAGACTGTAATAATGATAATAATTGCTTACACTTATATAGCGCTTTTCTGGACACTCCACTCAAAGCGCTTTACAGGTAATGGGGATCCCCTCCACCACCACCAATGTGCAGCCTCACCTGGATGATGTGACGGCAGCCATAGTGCGCCAGAACGCTCACCACACATCAGCTCTCAGTGGGGAGGAGAACAGAGTAATGTAGCCAATTCATAGAGGGGGATTATTAGGAGGCCATGATGGTAAGGGCCAATGGGAAATTTGGCCAGGACGCCGGGGTTAAACCCCTACTCTTTTCGAGAAACACCCTGGGATTTTTAATGACCACAGACCTCGGTTTTACGTCTCATCCGAAGGACGGCGCCTGTTTACAGTATAGTGTTCCCGTCACTATACTGGGGCATTAAGACCCACATGGACCACTGGGTGAGCGCCCCCTGCTGGCCCCACTAACACCTCTTCCAGCAGCAACCTTAGTTTTTCCCAGGAGGTCTTCCATCCAGGTACTGACCAGGCTCACACCTGCTGAGCTCCAGTGGGCTGCCAGTTGTGAGTTGCAGGGTGATATAGCTGCTGACTGTAATTGTTGTCAGTGTAGTGGAAGAATCCCCCAGTCTGCAGAGAGCCAGCGAGGGGTCCAGGTGCCCCAGTGACAAATGTCCCTCCTGTACCTGCAGTGCGTTGCCAGGCACCTGTTGCTAGGTTACCTTCTCGCTCTCCTCACGGCTCATGGCCAGGGCCAGCTGAAGCTGAAGCTCTTCCTCTCCACTGGTCTGGGGGCGGGCCTGCTCCAGGTCAGAGGTCAGGCGCGGTGAGGACGAGGAAGCTGGGACAGAGATGGGAGCAAATCAGCCAGGCCTTTGCATTAAATTCATAAACTTCGCCTCTCAAAATCATAAGAACATAAGAAAGGTTACAAACGAGAGGAGGCCCATTTGGTAGTTAGTATTTAATTAATCCCAGAGTATCGGCTCTCCAAGATTCCCAAATTAGAATTTTTGATTCAGGAGTTTTTGTGAATATCTTCATTTTTTAAGGCAATATCTGTAAGTAATTAAGACAAAAGTGGGACAGGGTGAGTCCAGTGCTGCAGCTCAGTGCTGCTCAGTCCCGATCTGTCCTCTGCCCTGGAAATCTCCACCTGTGCAGTCAGGCAGACTTGGCAGCACATTACGGAGAAAGAGACTTGATGACAATCGAATTCCTCCCATTCCTCCACGCCGACGAGAGCCAAGCCAGGAATTAGATGCAGCATCAAATAAGCTGGAGACTGAGCTTCACCCAGCCGCTCCGTCCCCCCTGCCTGACAGGCGGCTCTGCTGGGGCTGCGGAGGCCAGGTCAGCTCAGCTACTTCACCTCTCGTACTGGATTCTTCCCTGGGAGGGCTCCAGATGGTGAGCTCGGGATGCAGGGCGCCGTGCCAGGGTTTCTCAGGCAGTAAATTTGGGCACCAACACTAACAGAGCTGCCCATTCAGTTCCACTGCACTGCCTCTCAAAGCCATCTCTGGCTGGGAATGCCGTCTGGTACCGCACTGTCCTGCCAGCCCCCCCGTGCCCCGCCCGCAGGGCTACAGGAGGCTCGCGGCTCGTCAAGCCAAGACACACACCTGAGAGGGTCGTCCGCCTGCTCCTGCTGTTCCACCTTTCCAGACTGCCTCCTGGGAGACTGGAGGCAGACAGGGCAGCAATAAACATGACAGCGAGCGAGAAGAGAGCAGTACAAGTGGACAGCACGCTGCCCGGGGTCGGGTCTCTGTCGGATGCACCCTCTTGCAGCAGCTCTGCACGGACGGCAGCGTGTTGCCAGCTCAGGACTGGTGTGTGCCTTCCAGCCAGTAGTCAGGTGGCATGAAGTAGTTCAGCAGCCTGTTGGAGAGGCACTCCAGTGTGGCACTGCCAGGCGGGCTTGCCAACGCACAGACAGGCTGTTCCATGGGCAGGAAAAGAGAAAATCAGCACAGAAAGGAGCCAACACCCCCAATCACTCAGCTCACTGCTAAAACCAGGAAAAGCAGTTAAAAAGGAAATCTATTCTCCATGAAATACACCCCTCCCAGTTCGACTGCCCTGCTCCAAAACAAAAGACCAATACAGGAATCCGACAGTGAGATTCCTGGGCAGCAGGAGCCCTCGGTGGGAACAGTCTGTCCTGTTATAACAAACATTAATGGGGGAAGAAATTGCTCTCTCAAGGCACCACAAAGCTCAGGCAAGAGGATGGACGGTATCTTGTTTGTCTGTAAGTGCAGAGGCTATTTGCGGTTGTCACTTGATCGCTGTTATGTCTTTGGCTTTAGACAAAGCCAGACTGGAGCTGCAGTGCAGTCTTTTTCTGAGCCGCTCAGTCAGCTTCTGAGCAGAAAAAAGCTCAGGCAGGAGACAGTCTCCCCTGAGAGCACAGTTATTTACCCGCCTGGCGTCTCTCCTTAAGAGCAGGATGCGCGGGTGTGGGGGCACACACTCCAGCCTCACCGTGCCAACGCTGAGGCACATCCTGCCCTCCTGCACTGCAGCTGCTCAGCGATTCTCTCGCGAGCAGCAGTGGGTTTTACCACAAACCCGAGCACACAGCGGAGCCTACAGGAAGTGCATTTAAAACAGAGAACAGTTCTTTACACCACAGGGTGGTGGGAGTGTGGAACAAGCAATTCAACCGTGTTGAAGAAGCTAAGGTCCTGGCTCCTTTCAAGACGCGCAGTCACAGTGAGACCCTGGGATCAATCAGCGACTGTTTATCAACAGGGCAGACGGCACGAATGGCTCCTCTCGTTTGTAAACCTTCTTATGCTCAGACAGTGGTCTGGTTTACCTGTTAATTTACATGTTTAAGTTTTAGTGGCTCTTAAATTGGATTCCTCCCCCCCGAAAAGCT